CTGCCGACTTAAACGCATCCAGTTCCTCCAAGTGCCTCTGCGCCATCTCAGGGTCTACGCATGGTAGTCTGGCGCCCTGCTGCTGCCTCTCTACAATCCCAGTGAGAGACTTGTCTTGACCCTCGCTTAGGAACACTGAGGCAAAGAACTCGTTGAGGAGTTCAGCCTTGTCCCCCCTGTCCGTCACCAATTGCTTCTGCCCATTTAGCAGGGGTCCTATTCCACCCTGGGCCTTCCTTTTACTCCCTATATATCTAAAAAATAATTTCTTGTTGTCCTTCAGTTGGTATGCCATCCTCAGCTCCATGGTAGCTTTGGCCCGTCTAACTGCCTCCCTACAGTCGCGAGCAGAGGAGGTATACTCCTCTTTGGTGATCTCTCCCTGTTTCCACTTTTTATATGCTCCCCTTTTAGCCCGTAGGCTGCTCTGGATTTCCCTGGTCAGCCAGGGAAGCTTTCTGGCCCCTTTCCCTCTTTTTCCTCGCATTGGGATCGTCTCCCTCTGTGCCCAAAGGATCATTTCCTTAAGGCACAGCCACCCTTCCTGGGCTCCCATCTCTTCAAAACTCCTACTCTGCAGTGCGTCCTTGACTAATCACCTGAGTTCATTTAAATCAGCTTTCCTAAAGTCTAGCACTTGCACCTTACTAGTTACCTTACCCACTTGACGTCTTATGATGAATTCTATTATTTGGTGATCACTGTCCCCCAGGTGACCACCGATCTGTAGGTCCCCTACCATGTCATCCCCTGTTGCCAATACCAGGTCCAGTAAAGCATTCCCCCTAGTGGGACCATGTACCTCCATGCATTAACCCTTTTTTTGGTTTGCCAATTATTTCTTTTCCCTTTTACTCCAAGGGTTTCAGTTTACAGAACTGAACAAGAGCAACTGAAGAAGAAACTAACTTACACAATAACAATAAAGGATGCATACCTACTTAGACCAAGTAACATAATTAAATATATGTCAATATACTATATTAAAAAATGAAATGGTAAGTGTAGACTGACTTTGTAGCTTTTGAACATTATTTAAAATACTCATGTTTTTACTTTTTTAATTGTGAGGGGTGTTTTGTTTTTGTTTGTTTATTTTTGCTTTTGTTCCCCCCTACCCCACTACTGACAGCAGTTCTCACTTATAAACAATTTAAGGTCATTTTAAGATTATCCTTCCTGCAGGCAAGACATTTTTCAAGCCCTGGGGCTGATTGCTTTCATTTAACATTTCTATAATACCTAGGTTTTTTTAATCATTAGAATAAGAATGCATGGTGAAGCAACATCTGTATGCTATCCTTGTTCAATATTAACTAAGGACCCTCCTTAGTATACAATCACCTCCATAGCTGCTGGTGCACTGAAGCCCTGCAGGCCCCCTTGTCTGAGCAAGGACAAAGGCTTTTTTCAAGGGAACACTTGAACGTTTAGTATCAAGCAGCATAAACTGTGGGTTTAAAATTAAATGCTTACTTAAGATAAAGATCAAACTCATCTTAACATACAGGCAAAGTGGAAGGGGAAAAATCTACCTTAACTGACAGCAGATTAGAGAAAGAAAACTATTGCAGGGTTCTGTGCTAACAAATCCCCCAAAAGCTGAAAAATCATCAGGACTGAGAGAAGAAACAACTTCAGTGGCAGGTAGAATGTCTTGGCAACCAGAGTAATAACAACATATTTACACCTGCCACAGAGAGCGTGGCTAGAGAAGCAAGTAACCCACCAGTTTATTTTTTTCTTTCTGTATCATTCAA